TTTTAAAGATTTTTGTTTTTGTTTTTTTTTAACACTCTATCTCACGCTGCTAGGCGCCGTCACTATACATCCTGCAAATGTGAGTCGATAATCCCTTTATTGTGTTACACATTGAACCTTGTAGCTCTTCACTTTTAAACCCTAGGAGCAGCTTAATCGTGAGGATGTCAAACGAGTCAGTGGATGAATGTCCACTCAAGAGCAAAAACAACTCACGATGATTTCTGCGTGATCTCCCTGCAGTCTCACGACATTGCTTGACGGCCTGAAAGATCAGATAGCATAGCGTTGTGTAATAATCGCCACTTTCTTCTTACGTCTCTGTACTGATCAGATAGCTTGGTAAAATCCTTCCAAGCATCTTCCACGGCACTGCGGTTCTCGCACTCCGCCTCTCCAATCTTAGCAAGGTGACAATCCCTTTCTAACTGCTTCAGTCGCTTATCCGTGGCCATCCGCAAAATAGTGTCAGGTGAGCACTAAAGAGGCTTTTGTATCACATTAGCATAAACAAAGATCAAAAAGTTGATGGAATAGATGATGGTGGGATTGGGACGTAAAAAGGACTTGTCTTTATTCTTTTTGGATCGCTAATTTTTTTGCTACATCAGAGTCTTTGATTTAAATTTCAAAAGCTCTATAAAATGTATTGAGTGAGCCTCAGCATTTGCCTCGATACTTGTAATTTTCAATAGGATGGCCAGAAAAGTTTTTGCCATCCTTTAAAAATCCGTTTATAGATGTTCCACGACGCTTTCTAACATATAGAAAATCCTTTTAAACGGGTAAGATACTTTGCAAAAGCCATAAATGCGGAAATACAGCGCAAATATTTTGTGAGACAGAAGTTTTCAAATAAGGCTACACATATTCCAATTGCTGCTGCTTGTAATTGAAGTTGCTAGAAGTTATACTGAAAACGTTAGTGAAGTTAGGAAGGCTCAGGAGAGCTTTTTTATATGCATCTTTTTTTGAAAATATACTCGAGTAGGCCTCGGCACAAGATTACTGGTTGAGCATTACAAGAACGAATACCCTCTTAATCCAGCAAATTACGAAACCCCCTTTGTAAGCTGAAGAAACGTGTACAAATAGAACCAGTACAGCCCTGATTGCTTGTAACGGGTTTCCTTCATTAAGGTAAGTTGATTTGCCCTAGAAAAGAAGAGGATAAGTGATTAGCTCTGATT